AGAATTCTAATTAAGCACCTAACAAATTGAAAATGTTAAGGAAGATTTAACATTTTTTTTTTTAATCTATCAAAAACTCAGCACAATCATAACAGTAACCAACGTTCATTCAGATCATTCAAAATCGAAACACTTTTGCTCATACAAACACACACAAACAATTGCGAGCTCGCATGCATTCAAAACAACACACACTAACATACATATTCAGATTTTGGAAATATGAGAAACTTTCCATAAAAACTGAAAGAAAAACGAATTTGCTTTTAAGGGTGGCCAACCCTAATTATAGAATTTCCTGAACTGTAATATTTTATATAGAAAAATAGAAAAGAAGTAAAATTTTAAAAAAGTAATATAGATTGTAACAATCTGCTGCGGTTAAACATTTGTTATTTTTGTGTAATTAAATCAGGATAATAACAATAATTATGTAAATACCATTCAGTACATACAATGAGTAAAGTATATTAAAGCCATTACAACTTCAATATAAATTAGACACATATAAAACCAAAATCAAATTAACAAAATTATTATAATTACGAAAGAGAGAAAACATAATCACATTCAAATTAACTTAAGTTAAATTAATTAAAATATAATCAATTAATTGTTGAAATTGATGAATTAAAATTAAATTGAGATCTTCTACAAATCAATAGTAATTTAATATGCAACCTAAACTAAAACATGTAAATGAAACGGAAATACGGACAAGAACAAAGGGAATAAATTAATTAATAATTTTGATTTGGCGCATTAACTTAAGAATAAAAAAACTGAAAAGAATTGATAATAATTTAAGAAAAGGATGCAAAATTAATTAATTATTTTGAATAGGCGCAGTAATAATTGAAATTATAAAAACCTGAAAAGAATTTAAGAAAAGGAAGCAAAAGTAATTAAATTTTTTGAATAAACGCAATAATAATTGAAATTATGAAAAATATTATTGGGCTAAAGAGGGAGGGCTTGTTTTGAATCCCGTGTGGTATAAAGTCACTTACTACTTGATGTCTTCATCACCATCTCTGCCCTCGTTGTTGGTTGGCATCGCGAACATTCACGATAATTTATCAAAAATACGCACAAAACTCCCGAAAATTTAACACTCCGGTGATTCTAATATTGATTAACTTATAGCAAATTATACCGGTTGAAGAACAAGAGCAGAAGCCATAAACTTGTTTTCAAAATAACGCACAAACACTATAAATCAGAATATAAGACTAAGAATCGGCTAATGGCCAAGACTTTTCTTAACGACACCTGTCTCGATACAAATGAATGAAATTTCGGGAAAAACGCGAGCCCCCTAGATCCGCTGTGATCTGTTGGTGGTTGCTCGCATATTTCGGATACGAGTAACCACCTTAACGGATGCACCTCGAGAAGGTTTTAGCACAGGCGGTCTTGCCATTCCAGAGGCTATGTGTTTAAAACCACACGTGTGATTAACGCATAGAATGGCCTGGTATATAATACCTTGCATCCATATATAACAATTAGATATATAAGTACCAATGCTGCTGCTGCAAAAAAAAACACAACTTGTTCAATTTTTAATAACGTAGTTATTAAATTACTCACAGTTTTCCGGCATTGACCTTAGTTTCTATAGATCTGTAGCTTTCCCTGACCATGTTTTTCAACGATAACTGATGAAAATCCACGAATTTTCGCACACACTAACAATTGGTGTGACTTGTTTTCAGCCTGAGACGCGCGCGAACTACTACGATCAGGTGATGACACCAAGCGGAGCCAACTTCGTTATAGTTTTTTTGCGTTAAAAACGCCGTTGTTTATCTTTATATGCAACAAAAAAAGCATTGTTGAAAGCAGAAAATAAAATAGAGGGAAAACGCTTAGCGACGCCATTTTCTTCATGTCCTAATTTATAAATAATTAATTTTTGGTTTTAAGGCGAATTATAAGTGTTAATACGCAATTATGCATTTATAACAATTATAACGCTTTACTTTGAAATGAAATAAATGATTAAATTAAAAAATGGTATTTATTAAATTACTCACGGCTTTTCGGCATTGATCCTAGTTTCTATAGATCTGCAGCTTTCTCTGACTATGTTTTTCACCGATAACTGATGAAAATCCATGAATTTTCGCCAAATTTCCCGCATAAACAATTGATGTGACTTGTCTTCAGCGTGAGACGCGCGCGAACTACTGCGATCAGTTGCTGACACCAAGCGCAGCCAACTTCGTTGTAGTTTCTTTTGCGTTAAAACGCTATTATTTATCATCATATGCAACAAAAAAAAACACTGTTGAAAGCAGAAAATAAAATAGAGGGAAAACGCTTAGCGTCGCCATTTTGTTCACGTCTTAATTTATAAATAATTAATTTTTGGTTTTAATAATTAGCCGAATTACAAGTGTTAACCAACAATGATATATTTATAACAATTATGACGCTTTACTTTGAAATGAAGTAAATGGTTAAATTAAAACTGGTTAAATTACTTACTGTTAATGAGGAAATTCTTATTGGAATGATGGATTTTGAAAGGAGCAGGATTTGAATAGTTTAACAACATTTTTAAACTCTCAAATGCTCTCAAAGAGCGAAGAGAACGCAAGCGTCTTGATGAACAGAAGAAGAATGAGTGTACCCACGCCGGCGCATTTGAAGTGATGCCAACTGATTCAAATTTAAAACTTTTTTTTTGAGACAGTTTAGAATCATTATATTCAATAGAAAATCAATGATTAATTAATCAATTCATTAATTAACTATTTTTGTTAATTAAATAGAGGGAGGTTTGGTCGTTAATGGACATATCAGAAGTTGTTTTTCATCTAATTAGAGTGTGTACATTGGGTGGCCTATATATCAATATTAGAAAACAATAAAAATTTATTATTATTATATTACATTTATATAATTAATATTCATTTAACTTAATTTAATTATTATATATTCTAAACCATAAGTCTTTTCACCCTTTTTTGTGTACTGAACAAATACATAATATGATTCGTAGACTTATACGAAAATAGAAGTTTTAACATCACTTAGAATATAAATTAAACATCATTAGTAATGTAATTAATTTAAGCAAACTAAATGTGTAATGATTGAAACTATTGCAATTACATATATAGAGTTATATGGGGTCTATATCGCAAGCCTATTGAAATCCCGACTGTATTAAAGTCCCAACGCTTGAAATCCCGACAATCAAAATACCGACTACCATAATCCCGACAATCAAAATTCCGATTACCATAAAAATGTTATTGTAGAAATTTATAATAATAAAAGACACTGTCGGGATTTCGATCGTCCGTATTTTGAGCCAACCGGGATTTCAAACGTCGGGATTTCGGTTGTCGGGCTTGCCACCGATTTATATGGGTTGATGAAATGATAACTTTTACATTATTTTGGAATAAATTGGAATAAACTATGTATAAACATCTACTATTAACTAATTGTTTAACTCAATTTAGTATAATTGTTCTTAATTATTATAAACATATGTAAAGCATTAGTATTAGATTTACAATCTATTTGGTTGTTGTGTTATTAATATCTGAAATTCCTAATATAAGTTATGAATGTATTGTTCAAAATAAGTTTAGTATTATCAATAAAACAGGTGATACGTGGAAACAGTCATAGTTATTTCACTAGATTTCGCAATTATCGATGACCTTAATTGCTTTTTAATTCGGTTCTAGGATGAGGGAGGGAATCGCGAAAACGTGTAATATGTGTTTCGTAACGTGCGCTCGCCGATTGTCAAAGTTCATTGGAGTTTGATCGGTTGTAGCGGCCAGGACAGGACGAGAACGCAGCAGCAGCAACAGCAAGGATAACGAGATGGCATCGAATTGGGAAGAATTTTACGCTACCCATCTACCTCCCACGGACTTCGAGGACAACAGATCCTTACTGAAGGAGTTCTGCGAGCGCCACAACAAACCCGGCGAGAGGATCGTCCTAGTTACGGTGAGAGGAAACAATACACATACAGAATATTGTTAGGTTAGATTTCGTTTGTTTTGGCCTACTTGATTATTCGATGTTTTTAATTTAATTTTATTGTGGGTTGATCCAGTCAGGTGGGACCACGGTACCTCTGGAACACAACACCGTGCGTTTCGTGGACAACTTCAGCGCCGGTATGAGGGGCGCCGCCTCCTCAGAGTACTTCCTGGAGCAGGGCTACAATGTCATCTTCATGCACAGGCTCAAATCCTTGGAGCCCTTCACCAGGCACTTCAATGGACAGAAACTCATGGATATGCTTGACCTGCAAGAAAATAGTCGGAATGTAACAATAACTGGTATATATAGCCATCAAATGCCATGAATATCAATTGATGTATTTTTGTGTTGGTGCAGTAAAACCGGATAGTGTGGATGTGCTGGCCCCAATCCTGCTGAACTATAAGGCAGCACAAGACGGAGGCAGGATCCTCTATGTGACATTCACAACTGTCTCGGACTACTTCTGGTTGCTAAGGGCAGCCTGCGAGTGTTTGGCTCCTTTGGGTGCCAAGGCCCTCCTGTACTTGGCAGCTGCAGTGTCAGACTTCTACGTACCCTCATATGAAATGGTAAAAGAACTCATATACATACAAAGAAGTAGTAATGCAATAGTTTGATTCCACAGCCTACTCACAAGATTCAGTCAGCTGCTGTGCCAAATATCTCTCTGCAATTAGTTCCTAAACTGCTGTCCCCAGTTGTCAGCCTGTGGGTGCCCCATGCCTTTGTGGTCTCCTTCAAGCTAGAAACAGACGAGAACATTCTGCTATCCAAAGCCAGAGATTCGCTGAACAAGTATAAACACAAGGTGATGCAAAGCAACATCAACAAATTAATTTTATTAAGTGACTGTTGTTCATTTGCAGTTGGTGATAGGAAACATATTGCAAACCAGAAGACAGAAGGTGATATTCGTGACTCCGGAGAGCAATTACGATGTGAGTTTAACGCGAGAGCAGATGCTGGGCGGTATAGAAATCGAAGAACCAATCATCTCCAACGTCGTGCACAGCCACACCAACTTCATTTTAGGCCAGTTCCGCTCCGCCAAATAGGATTAAACGATCGTACGTGATAAATGTTTCTTTACCAAAAAAAAAAAAAAACGTAATTGTCTAGATGTGCTCCAAAAGAATAATAATAATATATATTTCGACTGTCCCTGAGTGAAGGGCGCAACCTAAATGAAGATAACAAAAAAAAGATACAAGAAGAATGTAAATAATATATATTTATAAAAGAGAGAAACAAAAAGAGTAAGTGAAAAGAGAAATATCTATATATATATACATACTGTTTTATATAACTTTTTTTAAAAATAATTTATTTTGATTTCATCTTTTTTTTTTAAATATTTACTATATATGTAGAGCACTTTTGTGCCAGTCGACTCCTCTTGAGCCCGTGACCCCCTTTCCCCCCATCACCCACTTTTTGGACGAAACCCCCTTCTAAAAGAACTTCGAGAAACCTCATTATCAGGGTATTATTGTAGCATTTTATCTACCTGTAGTAGTATTTATAATACATATCATTCGCGTTTTGTTCGTTGCGTTGTTGATTTATTCTGTTGTATAATTTGTTTTCTTTATATATATATGTATACAAATTCCCTTATGTTATGTAAAACTTTATTTTGTTATTGTTAATGTCATTGAATGTTTAACTGCCAACTTGGTTCGAACTCAACGCTTGGCCCAACCTCCAACATGGAGAACAATACTTACACACCACGCCCAGCCACACCCACCAAACACAAACACACATTAATACACATTCTGATTAGTTCTGGAATGATCACGTAACAATGCATTTCTGGTATTTGTTATTATCTATAGGAGCTATTACATTCGGTGTTTAGGACGTCGTTGCTGTAGGTGTGCGAAATTCGTTGATCGTTGTCTGATTTGATTTTACGCGTTACGTAACTGGTCTATTTTTTTTAGTTATTGAATGTTAGTTTTCGGGACGCTTCTGGAACCAAGGATAAACTTCGTTGTTGTAATGTTAAATGAATATAAATATATTGTATTTGATGTGAAGGTGGAATAAACATGAAATAAGAAGAATCTCTTGTTATATTCTCATTTACTCCCCCCAAAAAATATATCTAATTATCTGTGACAGTTTGTCATTATTAACATTGCAATTGTTGCTATAGATCTCTAAAGCAGTGATTTTCAATCTGTGAGTTATTTGGATTATTTTTGATAGAATTTCAATGTACATTATTTACAAATATGCAAAGAGATAAAAAAAATGTTGAATGAAAAAATTACTAATTGATTAGGGACAAATTGAATGATAGATGGAATTATCCAAGTAGGCTAATTTTATTCCTCCTAATATACAGCTGTAATTTGCATGGACAAGATTTCATTTGTCATTAGTGAGTAGAGATTGACCGTTTTTCATGAAATAAAGAAAAGCAAGTAGAATTTGCTTGAAACTTGTCTCATGCTAAGGAACGGTTAACATAGATGGGTGAATTGGTGCAATATAAAATATATATAAATATAAAGTATAAATAGATTGTATTCATCGTGTGGACAGAGAAAATGTAAAGTGTTGTTACGTGCGACTGTAATTTGTATTTAGATCGTGAAGTTGGTCGCACCCACGCTCTCTGAATTGCGTGGGTCGAGTGGTAAGTAATAAAGGTGCAAGATTAATCGACCTCTTCAACTTTGGGACCGGCGGCTCCGGCCTGGTGCAGTTTCATCATGACCGGCTGACACTCCTTCTGCAACTCCTTCAATTTATCCTCGAACTCGTCCTTCTCCGCCAACTGATTCGCATCCAGCCAGCTGAGAACGGCGGAGCATTTGTCCTGCACGAGCTTCTTGTCATCTGCTGTGACCTTATCGGCTGGAGCATCCTCGACGGCCTAATGAAAATGTTATTAATTAGAAGATTGGAGATTGTGTTTCTTTAATTACTCTACCTGTTTAGCGCTGAAAATGTATCCCTCCAATTGATTTCTGGCGAGGATCTTTTCGCGTTGTTGATCATCCGCCGCTTTGTACTTTTCTGCTTCCGACAACATCCTATCGATGTCGTCTTTGGAGAGACGACCTTTGTCGTTGGTGATGGTGATTTTCTCGGATTTACCGGTGCTCGAATCCTTGGCGGAAACGTTAAGGATGCCGTTAGCGTCCAGATCGAAAGTAACTTCGATTTTCGGGACTCCTCTCGGTGCTGGCGGAATTCCGCACAAGTTGAAGGTTCCCAAGAGGTTGTTGTCTTTAGTCATCGCCCTTTCGCCTTCGAAGACTTGGATGGTAACCGCAGATTGATTATCGGAGTAAGTTGTGAACGTTTGTTGCTGCTTGCAAGGAATCCTCGAGTTCCTCTCAACGATTTTGGTCATAACTCCTCCAGCGGTTTCGATACCCAAAGAAAGAGGAGCAACATCCACCAAGAGAACGTCTTGGATTTTGGAGCTTGTATCTCCGATCAAAATGGCTCCTTGGACGGCAGCGCCGTAGGCGACAGCCTCATCTGGGTTGATGGACAGATTCAAGGTTTTGCCGCAGAAGAAATCTTGAAGCATCTTTTGGATCTTCGGGATCCTGATGGAACCACCGACCAAGACTACATCGTGAATAGCACCTTTATCCAACTTAGCGTCAGCCAAAGATCGCTCGACCGGCGCCAGAGTGGACCTGAACAGATCCATGCAGAGCTCCTCGAATCTTGCCCTGGTGACTTTCGAGTAAAAGTCGACACCTTCGTGCAAAGCATCAATCTCCAAGCTCGCTTCAGTGCTGGAACTCAAAGTCCTCTTAGCCCTTTCGCAGGCGGTTCTCAACCTACGCAAAGCCCTCGAGTTTCCGCTCAAATCCTTCTTAAACTTCCTCTTGAACTCTTCAACGAAATGATTCACCAAACGATTATCGAAATCTTCTCCTCCCAAGTGAGTATCACCAGCAGTTGACTTGACTTCAAAAAGAGATCCTTCATCGATTGTTAAAATCGAGACATCGAAAGTTCCACCGCCCAAATCGAAGATCAAAACGTTCTTCTCGCCTTTCAAGTTCTTATCCAAACCGTAAGCCAAAGCTGCAGCGGTTGGTTCGTTGATGATCCTCAAGACGTTGAGTCCGGCAATGGCTCCAGCATCTTTGGTGGCCTGCCTTTGGGAGTCGTTGAAGTACGCCGGAACAGTGATCACAGCGTCCTTAACATTTCCTCCCAGATAAGTTTCAGCGATTTCCCTCATCTTTCCGAGCACCATCGAACTGATCTCCTCCGGCGCGAACTTCTTCAGCTCGCCCTTATACTCCACCTGAATCTTCGGTTTACCACCGTCGCTGACGACGGTGAAAGACCAATGCTTCATGTCCTCCTGGATCTTCGGATCGTCGAACTTGCGACCGATCAGACGCTTAGCATCGAAGACCGTGTTCTTAGGATTCATGGCAACCTGAAATCAAATAAACATAAATAATATTTACACAAAAAAAGTTGAAGGAAATAGCACGATCTAAAATTAGAGCCGATCCTTTCGGTTTTTGGCGTTCGGCCAGCGCGAATAAATAGTTTTCGATAAAAATCCATTCAGATGGTTTACTTCTAGAAAAAAAATCATTCTTCGCGGACTGCAGCAAAAGTTCTTGACCGATTTACTTTTCCTCTCGGTAAATGCGTAATAATAATAATCAGATGAAGAATCGCGGAGCGACAAAAATAAATAAATAAAAGGAACGTGTTTTGACCAAATATGGAGGCGCATTTTTGCTTGCCGTACTTGGACAATGGAGTCAATGAATCTCACTGCTTACGGCATCAAAATCTCCTTTTGTGCATCGAAAATACTATAAATAGACGCACGTAATGCGACCGATTCATCGAAATTAGTACAAATTCATTAAAGAATCGTTAATGATAAACGTTTTGCAAACAGTTGGAAAACTGGAGCACAATTGATGCATCTCCTTAAATCGCTTTGGTTGAAACTTCTGCAAAAAAATATATTTTAAAGAGAGTTGCATCATTGAAATTACCTTAATTATCTTGCTGACATTAATTAAAGTTGTTTTAAGGAATTTAATTAAATATAATTAATCAACATATGGTATGAATGCTATAAACATTCGTTAACATTTTAATTAAACAAAGTAATGATATTTCAATTATATGTATCAATTTTTCAACAAGTTTTATGTAATTATTTAGTAATTCGAGTAAATGTATCTTTATTATTCCTTACATTTCATAGCTTTGTTTATAAAATATCATATTTCATCATATCAATAACAAGAGAAACAGCAAACAATTTCTTTCCAGAAAATATTCTTTCATATTCAAAATTTCGAAGAATATCTTCTAATTGCGACTTCCATGATGATACTTTTATACTTATTTTAAGGGTTTCTGTTTTTTTGGAAACAATACTTTATTGAAAATTTAAACGTTTGTTATGTAAAATAGATGTTTAAAACATGAAAACGGAAATGGTAATTCTATTCATTTACCGTAAAATGTTACCATGCAGTTCCCTTAGTTACGCAATTGATTAAATAATTTAATGTATTTATAGAGTAGAAATATTGGATTTTAATTTAGTGCGCTTTGAATTTCGTTGTTTGTTAATTGTCATCAATTACATAATAACAGCTGCAATTATTGGAAATATGTTGAAATGTTTTCTTCTTAAAACTAAAACATACACTTAAAAAATAACCTTGAAAACGTGAAAATATGGGACAAATTTCATTGTTGTCATAATTTACAACTGCCATTTTGACATTATTAACGTCAATGCGTTAACAACAATTACTTCTAAATTCGTATTTGATTTTGAGTAATTATATCATTTGTTTTTGTTCCTAGTTTTCCATCATAATTATTTGTTGTGTGAATAATTGCATTGTGTTTGAAACAATTTGTCTTGGATTTTCCATTACTAATCATTCTACTATTACTAAATACATATCTTTGTCGTGACTTACGTAAGTAAGTCAATTATCAATAATTCGAAGGACGTAATTTTCTTGTCTTTTAGTAATTCGTGTATCGTTGTTATATAACAAAATGCATTTGATTTTAATGTCAAGTTAAATTTCGTTCTATCTAAATATAGAATTTGATTTGATAAAAATCACGAACTGAAAATTAGAATGTTGCATGTTTTTGCGCTATAGAATTTTCCAGATCGTTAGAATTTGAAGCTTTGCAGCGTTCCGAAAATAACTGCGAATTTTCGTGAAACTTGTGGCTCGCTGCGGCGCCGTATATATCAAACGTGATTTCATGCGTTTCAGGTAACTAATTACGGAGCGTATTCGATTTTCACTTTTTCCCGATGGAAATGCAAGCGCTAAAAATAAGCAAAGTATTTTTACTTGACTCTTGGCGGCGTCTCCGATGAGCCTCTCCGTATCGTTGAATGCGACATAGCTGGGGGTTGTCCTGTTTCCTTGATCGTTGGCGATGATCTCGACCTTTCCGTGCTGCCACACTCCGACGCAGGAGTACGTCGTGCCTAGGTCAATGCCGATAGCCGGTGTCTTCGCCATAGCTACTGTTTCGTGTAGTCCTCTTCTACCTCAGGTCACTCTTAACGGACAAGAACTTCTTCTCAAGTATAGAGGAAGAATAATGTTCTTTCTCGGGCCTCGCTGGTATGTGCAAGGTGTAAATATCGCGCCGCAACTGAAGCCAAGATTTGAATCGAAGCCGACCGAACTCTCCTCCCCGACGCTTCGAACGCGCGCAAAGCACACGCTCCACTTCTACATTCGGACATCATCACCACCACGATGAATCACATCCTAGGTACACCCATAAAATGGAACACTACAGAAAATTTATTAATATTTACCCCAGAATTCGATACCCCAATCTAATCAAAAAAAAAAACTAACACTAACATTTTTGTATCATGTCCAAAACCAAATGTTTACATGCACTTCCTACAGTTACATAAACACTTTAATCTTCATACGTCACTTTTTACACAGCAAACATATGATCTAAAAGAAATTCAACAGTCTTCGTATCGCTGAAACAAAAGTTACTATCAATTATCAACATCCCAAAAATCATATGACAAACGAGTAAACAACTGAGTAAATTACAACTGTCATCATCATGACATGATAAACGTTACAAGTAAGTGGATCAGTGACCAAAAATACTCTTCATTTGACATTCCAACTATCGTATAGGTAAATGGATCAGTATACTAAAAATAATTGAAAAAAAAAAAGAAGAAGGAATATCTTACAGTCCGTTTGTGCACACTTTGGTCATATTCGTGATGTATTTGGGACACGTGTCAGCGTACATGAAGCGATTGTGGAAGAGGAGAGCATTCAGAACGGCGAACAGGACACCCACGGATTCCGACGGGATCGGAATTTTCCTTTCAGCACGTTGAATCAATAACTGAAATGATATCAATAATTTGCAATAATCACAACGTGCATGCATATATGGATTTTGTTGCAGCAGAAGCTCTTGAAAACTTTCCGACGGTCGATAATCGACCAGAATTAAAATTAGAACTGCATGGAATAATCGTAAACCAAACAAATTGTATATGAAAAGTAAAAAAAAACTGTTATAAAACATGCGCAAAAATAAGTCGGTGATATTTTTAAACTTAGTAAATGATTTCAAAGTTAAGGCAAGCTAAATATATGTAACAGTAAATATTATTGTTTTACGAAGCTTATGTTTACGTTTACGTCAGATTCGGTATTTTTTTTGTCTAAAATTATTTTTTTTTTGTATGTCAAACGTGCTGTTGCCATGGATAAATTGACAGTTTAGCTAATGTGTCCAATAAAATGGTTATGTCAAATTTGACAGGTATTCTATACTGACCTGTACGATTGTAGCGAACGCAGTGATTCCAAACTGAAGATTGGGTTTGATGCAATAAGTTATCCCAGAGACGAAACCAGCCAATGCTTTGTGGTAACCTCTCTCCCTTTTATCCATTTTAGTCAATAGACAGTTAACAAGCTACAAAATGACATTAAGGAACTTCAATACTTGTCATTTGATCAACGAACCCGGAAGATTCCTACGTATCCACCTGTCACCAGTCCAAAGAACAGGTTATTTTTATTGAGCAACATTGTTATGAGCAGTTTCGGATCCTTCATTAACGCTTGAAATTTCGTCAACGCGAATTTAATTACTTCCAAACCGAATCCCACTCCGAAATATTGAATAATACCCTGCACATAAATGTATTATTAGAAATGACTATTACTTTTTACCACAATATTATTTTCAACAATAAATCGAAAATATTGTATATTTATCTATTGTGTAAGTTTAAAAAAAAATTAATATTTCATAAGAAAACCTTGAGAATGTGCATGTGACAATTATCTTTATGCGCGCAATTGTCCCGGTTCCGTTCCGTACTGTTCTTCTGCTGATAAAACCTGAAATTTGTTACGTTATTGCGAAGTGTCAGAAATGACAAATGGGTTTACCATAAATTGTTGTACGGTTTGCAGCTTTGCGTATCGAAGAGGTACATCAGAATCGAGGAGCAGGTCATAAATGCTAAAGTGTCTTTTGTTTTCGTCCTCGTTATTTTCCCAATACTCTCCAGATTCATCACCACTGCTTCTAAGAACTATACAATTTAAGTAATAAACAGAGTGGATGATGTAAGATGAGTATTTACCATATTGAAGAAGTATAGGGTGTTTAAGTTTATGTTAACGGGGGATTCAATGAATATAGGTAGACCGGCGAAGAATCCTGAAGCTAATGCGAGGCTGTAGTAATGTAATCTACCAAAATACCAGCTAAAATATATTCATTGAAAGTTGATATCTTTTGGATTAAAAAAAATATAATACCATTGGATGCAATTGGAGATCATGAAGAATCCAACGAAACTGACGCTGTAAATTAGAGTTCGGATGTAACTTTTCACGAGTCTCCTCCAATTGATGTTATGTCTATTTAAAATCACTTGAGCCTTGATCAGAAAACTAATATGAGTTTGCTGTTGTTTTCAATTAAGTATTACATTACCAAATAGAGAGGAAAGAAGAATTTCGTGCATCCTATAGCTGCCTGAACCATTAAGTAAGCATTTGCTGGCACGCATTCGTCCATCCACGGATGCAAAATACTGCAATCGATTCCATCTGAAACTTGCTTGTAAAAGAACTCTTTACTGATGACTGTCATTGTAAAATGCGACCGAACGACTAACGTAAAAAACGCATTTGAACCGTTATTTGTTACGTTATCTCCAATACCAAAGGGCAACGTTATTGTATGCTAATCGACTTAATTGGACTCGAAAAAATAATACCGATATTAGCATAGAGTTTTAATGAATGGATATCAAGAATGAGGTGAAACGTTGTTGTCTGTTGATTTCGAGCGACTGTTTGAAAGTTGGCTTGGATTAAACAAAAACAAAAGTTCGCGAAAAAAAGTGCTGTGACGTGTTGTTGTTTGTGCATCAAAAATCCTGTCGCTGTGCGAGGAGAAAATTCGCTATAATTCGATTGAAATACAGTGTGGATCAATGGAAACCGACCGAAATAAACATCAGCAGGAAAACGTGAGTGCATTTACATAATAACTCGCTTATTACTAGAGTAACGTGAATACTTTCAAACATTGACGTTCCACGTGATTGCAGTTTGATTCATCCCAGAGTTACCAGGACGAGAAACCCATCGATTTGACCAATTCAGGTAATTCACCATCTTTCTATAAACGAAAATAACAAAACAAATCATACAATACATTTGAAAATAAGTACATTACTATAGACTACCAGATTCACATATGATAATAGCATTATTTAAATTTTAAGATGTATGCAACCACATAATCTATTATTATCATCATAGAATTCTGATTATCTAATCCAGCGTTTTCCAAACTGTGAGGCACACCTCCCTG